CCATCAAGCAAAGGGAAAAATATTTTTTAGTCGTCTAACAAAAAGATAAATAGAATCCTAATAAATTTAATAAATATGAATTATACTTGTAATAAATTATCATGATAACATTCGAGAAATTCTATCAATAATGGTATTATTTCCAACGCCAAGACATTATCAACTCTTTCATCAACATTTTCTACATATTTAACATAATTAGAACAAAACAGTTAGCAATAGTCAAAAAAACAAAGTCATAAATTATTAATTAACAATAAATAATAAAATAATAAAATAATAAAATAATAAAAAATACACACGCAAAGATAGATATTTTCGTAATCTTACAACTGCAGCAAGTCGTAACTGTCGCACTGGAGAATGAAGTGCATTATAAACAGCTTGCGCATAGTGAGGTAACTAAATAAATTGACAAAAAGTTCAAAAAGAGTTGATAAGATACAAAATAAAGAAATAAACGACTTTTTTAATTTATTATATTTTTAGAAAAAAATATATTCTACAACAAACCAGCATTGATACTTCACAAACTGGCAAGCCGTCATCGTTTTTCCCTAATACTTCTGCTGCATCAGATGCCACTGAAAGATTTGCCAACTTACGGTTTAAGAACTCAATAATATCAGAGTCTTCTTCTGCGGTACTCTTCTCTGTGTGTGAAGTCATTTTAACGGTTTTTTTTTTTCAAGTAACAAAAAAAAAGGTAATATCGAAACAGATATTTTTATACAGATCTCGCACAGTTTTGGTGGCTTAGAAGGCAATGTAACCATTGTTTATATAATAAATATCAGGGTAACTCGCCTCTAGCGTGAAGGTAAAATAGTCAGGTGATAAAATTGAATATAAATGGTTATACGATAATAAATCTATGATCTCATCTAACAAAGAATATGCACAATATGTTTATATTTATTGATGGACAGTTTCACGATTGTGTCAGAAGTCTTATACTTGGCATGAGAACGTACTCACCTTCTTTGCACAGTGATATAAGAAAACCCACATTTAAAACTTATGATACACAAAATTGTCACGAAATTTTGGTAGTTAAAGGATTTTTATTTGTAATTAACTTATCCCCTTCTTGTAGATCTCTTCTCTAAAAAGAAATGTATTACAGGTATCAACGTCAATCGGAAACTGTTGTCAACTGTTGTAAGGTTTTAATAAGCTTAGTAATCACGTGAAAATTCTGCCAGAGAAAAAAAAGGGAGTAGTTTTCTACATATAGATTGAATAGATCGACAAGCATGAAAGCGGGAAAGCTGCAACTCATCCGATTAATCCAATTAATACAATTAAATTTTTTAGCCTCTGAATTAAATGTTTAGAACCATTTGTTAAGTCAAAGGAGGTTGGCTCAACTTATTCGTAGTTCACGCGATTACGCAGCTTTAACCTCCTAAAAAATCGGATTTATATAAAATTCAATATTCCCAATTCAGATTCAATGAAGCCTTATATAGCCACCGATTTAACGATAAATTACGTACATATCGATATCAGATATGTGATATATCAATATATAAATTCTTATATGAGAATCCTTGGATCACATCCGACCAGAATTAAAGTTTGAAAATCAATCTGCCCACATTAATGCAAACACATGTCATTGGTCGATCTATTCAATCTATATGTAGAAAACTACTCCCTTTTTTTTCTCTGGCAGAATTTTCACGTGATTACTAAGCTTATTAAAACCTTACAACAGTTGACAACAGTTTCCGATTGACGTTGATACCTGTAATACATTTCTTTTTAGAGAAGAGATCTACAAGAAGGGGATAAGTTAATTACAAATAAAAATCCTTTAACTACCAAAATTTCGTGACAATTTTGTGTATCATAAGTTTTAAATGTGGGTTTTCTTATATCACTGTGCAAAGAAGGTGAGTACGTTCTCATGCCAAGTATAAGACTTCTGACACAATCGTGAAACTGTCCATCAATAAATATAAACATATTGTGCATATTCTTTGTTAGATGAGATCATAGATTTATTATCGTATAACCATTTATATTCAATTTTATCACCTGACTATTTTACCTTCACGCTAGAGGCGAGTTACCCTGATATTTATTATATAAACAATGGTTACATTGCCTTCTAAGCCACCAAAACTGTGCGAGATCTGTATAAAAATATCTGTTTCGATATTACCTTTTTTTTTGTTACTTGAAAAAAAAAAACCGTTAAAATGACTTCACACACAGAGAAGAGTACCGCAGAAGAAGACTCTGATATTATTGAGTTCTTAAACCGTAAGTTGGCAAATCTTTCAGTGGCATCTGATGCAGCAGAAGTATTAGGGAAAAACGATGACGGCTTGCCAGTTTGTGAAGTATCAATGCTGGTTTGTTGTAGAATATATTTTTTTCTAAAAATATAATAAATTAAAAAAGTCGTTTATTTCTTTATTTTGTATCTTATCAACTCTTTTTGAACTTTTTGTCAATTTATTTAGTTACCTCACTATGCGCAAGCTGTTTATAATGCACTTCATTCTCCAGTGCGACAGTTACGACTTGCTGCAGTTGTAAGATTACGAAAATATCTATCTTTGCGTGTGTATTTTTTATTATTTTATTATTTTATTATTTTATTATTTATTGTTAATTAATAATTTATGACTTTGTTTTTTTGACTATTGCTAACTGTTTTGTTCTAATTATGTTAAATATGTAGAAAATGTTGATGAAAGAGTTGATAATGTCTTGGCGTTGGAAATAATACCATTATTGATAGAATTTCTCGAATGTTATCATGATAATTTATTACAAGTATAATTCATATTTATTAAATTTATTAGGATTCTATTTATCTTTTTGTTAGACGACTAAAAAATATTTTTCCCTTTGCTTGATGG